GCATTTATATCATTTAAACAAATCTTTGAATGACTAATGAGCATTTAATTTAACAAACCTTGCAGACTTAGTCGAATCTAGTTGAGATCTTGTGAAGTGTGCATTTGTATCCTGCATGATCGCGTGTTCTCTGCGTGACGGTCGGTCCATACGAATTGAATGCTGACAGGAGGAGAGTTCTGCTTCACTAAAGACACGCGATCGACAAACTTTAAAATAGTGATTTCAAATTATGCTACGCTTTATGCAGTTGCCCACTGTCATATTCATGTCATTTTCATTGCGTGTGTCAGGCTCTTTAACAATCTGGCGCCAGTTTTACAAAGCTTTCACCTGCTGGACAAAAGCTCAGACCAAGCTACGACCCAAAACCCTAAATGCTATTCACTTGCTCCTCTTTTCCCCCAGCTCTGCTCTCTTTGCCTATTTAAGCCAGTTTTTGTCACTGAAAATGTAAGATTTGCATGCACTGAACTTATGTTTGGGCATCCTGACTAGTGATAGACCAATAAATCTATTTTGAGATTATTGGCATTGACGGATAAACACGTTTGATTGGCTAATAAATAAGTGTCACCACCTCCTTGTGTCAGTTTCTAAATCTACTGACATCCTTGTCAATAGATAAAAAAAAAAAAAAAAGAGTCAATTTTATAAAAAATATTATGAAAAATACTCTGTAATTTTCAGTAATTCCTTAATTTAAGTCAATTTATATAAACCTTATTTACATTATATAATTGAATTTAGGCCTGTCACGATAACAACTTTTGGTTGTGCGATATATTGCCCCAGGAATAATTGCGATAAGCGATATTATTGTCATTTTAAAGACCATTTTATGCCACTGAATATATAATCATAATGTAACAGCATAATAATGCAAGAAGGCCTACTTCCTTCCAAATGACAACAAACTTTTAATTTTTAAGAATATTTAGATCATGGAAATTAAGTATCAAAATATTAGATACCTTAAAAAACCTGCATAAATAGTAAATAAACATTTTCTAACAAAAAGTGCAAAGTAGAAGAAAAAAAAAAGAAAAAACACAAAGAAATTATATGGAGATTTTTCCATCTACAGATTTTTCCCAGACCTTCTTTTCTCTGTAAATGAAGGGTGCACACTATTGCTGAAAAACACAATCACTACTTAGCAGTCAGATGTCTGTATGCACAAAGGCACAGATCCCTAAACAAAGCCATATCTGCAGAAGAAACTTTTTTTGTAGAAGCATTTTTTAAATTTGAACTAGCACCAACTACACCACGTTATGTACGAGAAGCTGCAAAAAACACAGGCGCAAGTGGAATGCAAAAAACATGGTTACATAATTTTTATGTAAATATAATGGGCAATATATTGCGTCACCAAAAATTATTGAGGTCATGTACATATATTGCGCGATAAGTCGATATATTGATTATTGCGACAGGCCTAGAAACCAGAAGCCAATTTTACAAAAAAAAAATCATAATAGGTTTCTTAAAATAAATTCTACGAAGTTTTTAAGGATGTTAATAGGTGCAATTCTTGAAAAATTCTTAGAGGGATCCTATTATAACCTTTTATGAAGTCTTGATTTGGTTTTTGGGGTGTACTAGAATGGGTTTGTCATGCTTGATTGTTCTAAAAACGCATTATTTTTCACATATTTTACATTATTGCAGCGTCTCAAATGCACTATTTAGTTTTTGTTTCGATGAAACCCCTCTAGCCCTCCTTCCCATAACTACGAGTTTCATCTACTCAGCTGTAAATATTTACTATGGCATCAATTTTGCCATACTACTGTCCTCCGTTGGGGCTATAATGTTCAGGAACAGTGTTAAAAATAAGTTTGTCTGCCTTAGAAAGGCCAAAAAAAAAAAGCATCATGGCGACACCATGCTACTAAATCAGGTCTTTTTCTTCATTTTATCTCACACAGCTCAGCCAGGTCTTGTCCCCTTTTTTGCATATTCTGTGGGCAGAAATTTATTTAAATAAGTAATATTGTGACTTCACAATATCTGAAAGAAGCGCGTTCTAGTCCGAATGAGTGGTTTGTTGAATATCTCCTTTTAGATTGGACTTTGAGTTTTGTAACATTGCAGATATGTATTATGCTCAAACAGCAACATTGCACATTAACTAAAGTTGAAAAAGTGAAAAAGCATAATAGAACCCTTTCAAGAAGTTCTCAAAATATTTTCTAAAGAACATCCTTTTTTTTTTTTTTCTTAAGTACCAAATGGCAGGCTTTGGTATTTTATGATTGTATGGCAAGTCTTGCTGAACTGAAGACCAAAAAAAAAAAAGATTCACACAAACTTCCCAGAATACTGAGTGCCCTGTTGGTTACCGTGTTTACTTCCTTTTTAATTAGATTTTTATTAAATATTTATTTATTTGTGAAAAATGCTTTGTCTTTTATTATTTTTACTAATTATTTACACAATTATTTTTTATCCATTTTCAAATGATTTCAAATTTCTTAAATATAAATTAAAATAAATAAAATTATATCGGCCATCGGCTACCCTGCTTTCCAAGATATCGGCATCAGCTGTCAAAAAACCCATATCGGTCGACCACTACTCCAGAACATCTCGTTTTAAGTAAATATAATGGGCGATATATTGCATCACCAAAAATTATTGAGGTCATGTACATATATTGCGCGATAAGTCGATATATTGATTATTGCGACAGGCCTAGTTTAGATCATTTCAATCTCATTTTACTAAGACAGATTACTGGAGATATAGAGCGACCACTATCATTTTAAGTATCTTTTATACTGTTTTAAAGATCTCTTTGATTTACATTACAAGCAACAGAATTTCATAACCTTTTTTATCATATAAATATCAGCAATGCACCAAATTACATATTTTTGCTCAGTTTGAATCTCTAAAAAAAAAAAGCAGTTTTCCCTCCATATTCTCACTGTATCAGACTATATGAGCCATAACAGCCTGATGGATCAAATATGATACTCAACAAAAACACAAGTAAAAAAAAAATTTCTTAATATTTTGTCTAAAGGTTCAATAAGCTATTCCATTAAAAAAAAATTAGATTTTTCTATCTTAATTTCCATAACCCAAAATTCATAGTTTATCATGTATTTAATCTCATAGAAATGTCCATTTGGTGCTATTTCAATCGTGAACCTGCCAAGCAACCTGGAGAAGGAAACCACACACAGATACTGTGCCAATTCCTTCAAGCTCCACAGGTACAAACTGAGTCATCAGTACATTAGTCATGCTTCAGTATTTTGTGCATTTAATCTGAGTGTTCATGTTCGTCAGGTTGCCCATCCCTCGTCCGGGTGAGGTGCTGGGGCTCGTGGGTACTAATGGTATCGGAAAATCCACTGCTCTGAAAATCCTGGCGGGAAAACAGAAACCAAACCTGGGGAGATTCGATGTGAGTTTCTCATATCCGCACAAACACCCACTCCAGATCTGATCCGAGTTTGCATGTCTAACTTAATTCATGCATGTTTTTCCAGGCTCCTCCTGACTGGCAGGAGATCCTGGCGTATTTCCGTGGCTCCGAGCTGCAGAACTACTTCACCAAGATCCTGGAAGACGATCTGAAGGCCATCGTGAAGCCGCAGTATGTTGATCAGATCCCCAAAACTGTTAAGGTTGGTATGAACGGCAGCTAAGGGAAATCTGAAGTCAAATCTGCTGTGCTTGATTGTGTTGTAATTCTCCCTTTGTCCTGCAGGGGTCGGTAGGCTCCATCCTCAGCAGGAAGGACGACACCAAGTCAGAAGAGCTGGTGTGTGAACAGCTGGGTACGAACACATGCTTTTCTTTTTATGCAGGATCATGTAAATATTTAGAAATGTGATCGAATAATGTAGGTGGTTTTGATGGTTCTCTGCTCTGATTGGTCAGATTTGTTGCACTTGCGTGATCGTAATGTTGAGGATCTGTCAGGAGGAGAGCTGCAGAGATTCGCCTGCGCGGTTGTCTGCATTCAGAGAGCTGATATGTGAGTCCCTGCCCTTATGAAGAAGTCCTGTAGCATTCAGTGTTATTTTAGTTTTATTTATATATTATTATTTACTAATATATTGAATCAGCTCTCTCAATTTTAAATTGTAATTTTAGTTTATTTTATGTGATTTGTCACTTTTATTAGTTTTTTGTTGTTGTTTCTATTTAGCTTTAATTTTGTCATTTCAGTTTTAGTACTTCAGCTAAAACTTATTTTATTTAATTAGTGTTATTGTAGTATTATTTATTTAATGTTAATATGTTGAGCTTGTATTTTAATTTTTTCAATTATCGGTTTAGTTTTAGTAATTTTGTTTGCATGCTTTTGTCATTTGATTTTTTGTTTTTAGCTTTCATTTTTATTTCAGTTTTAGTCATTTTAGTATTTAAACTTGTTTTATTTCATTGTAATGATGAAGTGTTGTAGCATTAATTATTTTAATATTATTTACATACTATTACAATAGTAATATTTTTAGGTTCTATTTTCATATTTTCAGCTTTAATTTTAGTTTGAGTAATTTTGTCTTTGTCATTTTTAGTTTATATATATA